AGAAAATGTGGACCAGGGATGTACTTTTCCTCTGAATGTTTTCTAGGCTGTATTGATGGTTATAGAGGTGCCCGATGCACCATACGATGTTCACACAATTGTACAAAATGTTCTGATCATGCAGATACGTGTACTGCGTGTTATGATGGGTATTATCCCGGCCCTGCTAGAGACTGCACATCGTCATGTTTACCCGGATGTAAAACATGCACGTCAGGAACCACGTGTACATCATGCAAGGAGGGATATAACAACGAGAATGGTCGAAATGATTGTAGTAATCGTAATTGTCCTGAAAATTGTAATTGTGATAATGGTCAATGCGCATCATGTAAGGACGGATATTACGATACCAGTTTATCGTGTAATAGTTTATGTCCAGGGAACTGTGTCACATGTTTGTCGAATACGGATTGTGGATCGTGTAAGGATGGTTATTATAAAGGATACCAGCACGACAACAATAACTTCCCTTTGTTGAACGACTGTACATACAAATGTCGAGATAATTGTGTACGATGCTTGTCCTATAACAGTTGCTCGCGTTGTAAAACTGGTCTTTATGGATCGACATGCTACAACAGTTGTTCAGCCGGTTGTATGTCAAACACTTGCGATATAATGACTGGTAGCTGTGCATGTTCCTCTAATTTTGCTGGAATAAGATGTGATAGATGTATGTCCGGGAGATATGGAAATATGTGCGATCAACAATGTCCTGCACGGTGTAAAGGTAACGTATGTGATAAAGATTCCGGAGATTGTACAGACGGATGTACTATAGACACGATCGTTGGGGATAAATGTGACGTTTGTTCAACAGGCTGGTATGGACAATACTGTAACATGTCTTGTTCTGTCGGCTGTAAAAATCAGCAATGCGAGAAAAGTAATGGTGAATGTTCAAATGGATGTCTTGATAACTTTATAGGAGAACAATGCAATCAGTGCATTCTTGGCAAATATGGTGATACATGCCAACGTAACTGTCCACATAACTGTGACGAGATGGGCTGCTTAAAAGATTCCGGTTATTGTATTAGCTGTCGTGTCAACTTTCATGGAGAGAAATGTGATAGATGTCGTCCTGGTTTCTATGGTTCACTTTGCTCTGAGAGATGCCCGTCTAACTGTTTGAACGGTGTATGTGACAGAGATACAGGGACGTGTTCTGATGGCTGTGTCTTCAATTATTCTGGCGACAGATGTTGTATAAATAATAACAAATGTATCACATGTTTGTCAGAAACTACGTGTAAACAATGTAAGTCTGGATACTTCAATGATCAATGTGACAAGCAATGTCCTCAGAACTGTCTAAAGTCCTGTCATATCGAAACCGGTGTATGTGATGGTTGCAAAGGTAACTTTTATGGTGATAGTTGCAATTTTTCATGTGCCTCTACATGCATGACTCAAACAACAGGCGGAAGTTTATGTCAGGAAAGTAATGGAAGGTGTCTATATGGATGTGTAGATGGTTTCCACGGTTTACAGTGTTCTGAGAACTGTTCTATTTATTGCAGCGATACAATTTGTGAGCAAGACGACGGCAAATGTACAAAAGGTTGCAAAATAAAAGTAAAGAATGACCACATTTGCCCTCTGACACCAGGTAAGATAAATTTTAAACAGCTCGTTTTTTCATCATTCGTTATATATGTTTTCATTTTTAGCTATGTTATGTGTTAATGTTATGTCTCCTCTGTATATTTGTAATGACGATGATGATGATGTTGCTGTTGCCGCTGCAAATGATATTGAAAATAATGTTAATGATTATGATTTTAATGATAAGAATAACTAAAGTACTGCCACAACAATTATACACGTGTTTATGTATAGAATAAAATAATACAATAATATGTAAAACAAATTAAAAGCAAAACATTTGATTATATTTTATATCTTGATGAATTTATAGTGATACACAATGTATAAACTTTTAAATATGTCTAAAATTATACCCATGTAGCACTCTTCTTTTTCTAAGGTAAGATAATTGTGTTGTTTATCCCTGTTGTTTTAGACTCAAGTTCCTCAGAGCAGTCAGTTAATACAGCTTTTATATCTCTTGGAACAATTCTTGCTGTATCAATAGTTGTTAACATCATATTTTTGGTAACGTTGATTCTTCGGAAATATCGGAAAAGGTAAAGATTGTAAAATTATATAAAACTGAATTTAAGTCCAAGATAGAACTTAAAGAATATGAAAGTTGCAAGAATACTGTACAATATATGAATTATGTCAAATATCTAAAAACTTTTCGATATCTGAATTCCACTTTTCAAAAAAAAAGGAAGAAAGAAGTGACATTATTGTCATGACCCTCTCTGTAATTTCGCCGTCGAAAACTGTTAAACCTAGCAATCAGTTCGAACTAGTTATACATTTTTTTTGTCATGAACAGGATTAATGAACACAATTTCAAAAGTCATTTCTATTTTTTTTTTTTTTTTTTATTTTTTAGTTATGTCTCGTTTTCAACTTTTTAGCCCTGATTTTATCCCTGATTAACTTTTTTTGCGTAGGTCTATTTTCGCAGACACTATAAAACTTCAGACTTGTTTTACATATGACAGGGCAGATAATCCCAGAATTGATATTTCCAAAGTTATGTACTTTTTACTGTTTTTTTCTAAGGTCACTTTCTGAAAAACTGTCAAACTTGTTGCATTTTTAAATTGGAATGTATTTCTAAAAGACATGTAATTCTATTTTTTTCTTCTTAGAAATACCCCCCCCCCCCCCTTTTATCTCGGAATTTCTTGATTAACTTTTTGCTCAGTTACAATCATAGATTTAACTTAAACAATTTTAACTTAAGAGTACTATCAAATTTGAAATACATATGTAGGAGTTTGATTATCCTGAAAGCCTTTTTATGGTACTTTCAAAATACGATGTTAAAAAAGCAACACATTATATTTTTATTAGCTTTTTACTTCCGTGTATCTATAATCACTTTTATCCATTATATTGTCATGTCAACATAAATCTATTACAACAGTTTTTTAGTACTGCATATTTATCAATGACAAGTCAAATGATCTTAAACAAATAAGTCCAATATTTCCATTTTATTACAGGGTCAATGATACTTACAAGGCAAAAGGACCTGTTTATGAAAACTCAGGTAAATATATACTAGTTCTTTTTTTTACTGATGGATGATTTTTTTATTAAGAATTATAAATGTTCTTCAATTCAATTTTTATCATATTTATTTAAGCTCGATTGCGAAACAAGTTCTTGCACTAATGTCAATTATTTTAGAGTCCGCATCTCCATTTGCACGGTCAGTTCTTAATTAAATGACTTCCAATCTGAATCATAATATGTTCCTACCACTGAGTTTCAAGCGTAATAATTTAGATAAAATAGGATCATTATCATTCAAATATCTTCAGTCGTAATTATTTTCAGGCTAAATTATTTAGATATATAGTAGCATAATTTTTCAAATATTTTCAGGCGTAATTATTTAGATAAATAGTACCATAATTGTTCAAATATTTTCAGGCATTGAAATGGAATGTGGAAATTCAGCACATCCCGGCAGTGCAAGCAAGCATGGAATTGTACAAGGTATTTCTTGTTGTTGTTTTTCTAGACTTTAAATTTGCTTCTTCAGATCTTTCTGTGCATTTAATTTAAAATACTCGAATATGTTATTACTTACAATTTCTTTTGTACCTATAATATCATAACATACCCTGAATATTTTAAGGGTTTACCTTGATAATATTTGATATAAAGCATTGATTAAGAATATTTCAATGAAAATGTACATTCATGCTTTTTTGCATAACTAATTGTTCTGAAGTTAAACTGTTGTGCAAGTCTTTAAACACACGCAAGATAAATGTACGGGGATTGTTAGTTGTTTTCTATATTTGTTGTTCTTTAAAAAAATAATGAGCTGCATGTATCAAAAGTGTAACTTGTAAATTTCAATCACATTTTATAATCCGTTATGTAGTCATCAACTGTAAAGTTGCCTGATATATTACAAGAATATCAATATTAAGTAAGATTTATTTTTTCAGCGTCAAACAGCGACCCTGTGTTTAAGTCACCTGACTATGAGGATCTTGGAAGACTTCAAGGTAATTGTGAATTAATTGTTCAGATTATTAATAAGTTATTATGCATCGAAATATAAACTGTTTATATAAACTTCGTCTACATTCTAGTTGGTTTCATTAAATAATTTTAAGATATCTTTCTTTTCATTCCATTTTTTACAGTATCTGAGCATGAATATGGAGAAATTCGTCATTGACGAATCAAACACGAAAAAAATGGTCATCAACAACTATGAAGTGTATTAAAAGAGTCCGACAGAAAACAGTGTAACAATTTAAACTATAAACAATGGACGACAATATATCGAACAGAATGTCATTCTTTATTGTATAGTTCTGAATATCTGTCTAATATTTTAAAACATTTGACTGCATGTGGATATTTTGATGTCCGCACATTTGAAGGCAGAACAGTTCCATAAAACGGATGTCCATATTTACAAAAAGAAAATTTGAAACTGAGAAATACCTTAGTGAAACGCATACTAAATATTTAAAATATATGATCAATTCAATAACTAGAAATCATAAACTACCGGTCGAAACATGAAATTTGCATAGAATACCTTTAGAACAGAGAAAATTCACTCTCTGCAATCAAAACATAGGCGACAAATTGCATTTTCTATTAGAATGCCCAAATCTTAATACGGGTAGAAAAAAATATATCTCAGAAATTAATTATTATAGAAATCCAAATATAATAAAGTTTGATGAATTAATGAACACTGATCCCTCTAATTATGTGATATATACAAATCTTTGCATGTTTATAAAGTAATCTTAGAAAACAAATATTGAACTAAATTATTATATTAAAATTGATAAACATTTTTGAAATCATTCGTCTTATTTTGTATGAATGTTTAACTTTCACCTGTTTATGTTAAAGGGATATTTTAAGATATGTTAGTTACATACTGTTAACCTCGTAAACATTTGTAATTTGTTATTTACCTCATATTTACATTGTTTATGAAGTGAATAATAAAATCTTGAAAAATCTTGAAATCATAATTTGATACCTTATTCATTTTTGTTAAGTTATATAAGTGTTGTACAATTGTGCATGTGATTTTTTTGTAATTAGATCAAAATATTTCAAGTTGAACTGTAAATGTTTTTTTTTTAATCTGATCTATAAATTACTTACTTATTTACTTTGAATTATTTATTTCAAACTGCGACTGTCCAGCTTTACAAGTGGAGGAAGACATCAGCTGCTCTTACGTGCTTTAATTATATAAATTCTAATTTAACGTTAGAAGATATTACATTTATTCTGTTATTTGCTGATGATATTGTTATTTTAAGTTAATCACATGAAGTCTTACAAAATAGTTAAGATACATTGCATAATTACTGTATTGTATGGGGATTAAAAGTAAACGAATGTAAAAGTACGGTTATAGATTTTAGAAAGAAGTGTCCGATTAGAAATAATTAGAGCATTGAAAATATAATAATATTCCCTTACAAATACTCGACAATTTCAATTTAGGTACTGTATTTAACTATACTGGTATTTTTTACTTTGAAACAAGAGTATTTAGTAAGGAAAGACCTCAAGGCATTAATGTTTTATTCCACAATCTGAAACCTTTGTTCAATAGTACTTCTTTGCAAATTGTTGCATGTATTTTGAAGTATGCCTGTGGCAAAAATGAGGATTTGGTAAAAGTGAAGAAATCGAACGAGTACATCTAAAATTTTGTAAGTCAATGTTATGTGTTAAGCAGTCAACAAGCCGTATGTATATTTATGGTGAGCTGAAAATGCATCCTTTAAATGTAAACAGATGTGTACGCGAAATATCAAATTATGTTTGTTATTGTCAGTAGCTTATAAGAGATTAATACAGCTCAAGGTAGGGCCGGAAGGTGATGATCGGCCCAGAAAATGAATAATGGTCCCGAGGACTTCAGCCCTAGGGCTTTATTCATTTCAGGGCCGATAATCACCTTCTGGCACAACTAACCCGTGTATTAATGTCTTAAATACACTTGGTAGTTCTAAAAGTATTCTTTTTCTAAAAATAAATACCTTGAAATTTCGTTCGTTGAAATTCCTTTTTGCATTGTGCATTGCTACTGATAAGTACAGTAACTTCTAGTTTACAGTACCGTAACTTCTACAGAGTTGTTTACTTTTTGTATGTTCAAAGTACACTACTGTACTGCAGAATCTAGAAGCAAGTTTTATTTTCTTTTTATCGGAATGAATTTGTCGTATTATTTCTTTAAACTTCAATAGTAATAAAACTGTATGTGTACGAAATATGCTTCAGCTCTCATAATAAAATCAAGCGATTCATGCTTAAAACCTAGTTTAAGTGTGACGTCATTGCTTCAGTTTGTGCACAAGTTCAGCTGACTGATAACTTATTCTCAGCCCCGGGCCGCAAACTCATAATAGGTCACGTGACAGTCATAATCAGTTGAAAACATAGGCGATTTTGTTACTATATATAGTTACAAGTGTATTAATATACATAAATGTTAAATGATATCAATAGAGACAAAAGTAACTGGTTGTCTAATGTAAAATCATCATAAGATGATGCAGGTTTATTATATGCATGGTATATTGATAACCTTGCACATGTATATTTATTATTTAAACAAAATCGTATTGACCAGTCATAGTCCAGTCAGTCTGTAAATCGACCTCAAACAAATTGCAACAGAAAATATTTTACCTGGTATAGAAAGTATATGGAATAACATGAATCATATCAAAAGTCTAGCAAAATCTAAGTTGCGCAACATAGAAAAAAACGGGTTTTTATCGCGTTATTTTCTGTGATTTTTTTCTGACAACAACGGTCTTCCATAGGCGAACAAAGCGTCTCCGATACTCAGAATAGCGACTGCATAATGGCGACAACAACAACAAAATAAGTGTAAACAAAATAAATGTCAGTAAAGTACACTGTGAAGTGGGTTGGTATATTTTCCTTAAAATATTACAGATCATATATGGAATTATAAATGTGGGATGAGTATTTGTTGAAAATTATTACTTGTTTTACCAGTTCTTTATCCGTTGAAGGTCAACAGGTGTTTCAAGCGATCTGTATTATACTTTTCATGGAAAACAGTTTAATTTATATAAATTACAACTCTGATTAACTCCTGTCTAAGTAAACATTCAAAAACGACCTTAAAATGTGTATTTATAACAAGTTAATTTCGACAGTATTTTTAAACTATGGAACGCCATTATCACTTTAATTATGACGAATTACGTTAAATAAATTCTTAATACTTTACTCATGTTTTATTGTTAAATGTGTATACAAGGTTGTTTTTTGTATTTTTTAATAGTTTTTTAAAATTGTTTTACATATATAATGTATGTAATGTTATTATTATTTCAGGATTACCGCTTTGAGGTAGTCTTCATTGATGTATGCTTGATTTTGAAAATAAAAAAAAAATCCAGTAAACTATATGTACACTAAATGAGTAAGTTTGCTTTCCTGTGCTTTCATTTGTAATATTTTTACATATATAACACAAATATCAAACATTATCTTTTACAAGTTTAAGTGAATATTAAACATAGAGGAAATAGAGCGTCGTATGCATAATTCAATATATCTGAAATTATTTTCAGTTTTTAATAGACATAGAAGAAATTTATACATGAAAAGGTGACATGAAAAATTTATCAATAAACAAACGTGATTTCTAGTTATGGTTCATGATTGGCGATGTGTATGAGTTCAAGGTAAACATGCACAGTTGATCCATAATTTAAAAGAAAATCTTTTATGCATACAATAGCACCTGCGCGAATTTGAAAAAGTGCACTACGTGTATAAGATTAATTCACAACGATATATTAGTAGCTCGTTCGGAATGCACACCTAAGTTGACTATAGTATAATTTTATCACTTTTATAATCAAAATTTAAGCAAATACATGTAACAATAAAAACATCTGTGTATTCTATAGAACCTTATTTCACGTAAATATGAAAATAAGATTCTAATCCTTTCAAACTTTAAGTAATTTCTATGTTACAGATTTCATCAACACACCAGAGCCAATGGGTATGCCCGATCATGTGTCTGAGGACACTGTGATGTATACGAGTTAAAGGTTAAGATGCATAGTTGAGACATTTGTTTCACAAAATCACTTTAATGATATTTTTCATATAAGCAAACTTTTAAAGTGTGTCATAAGTTCCATATAGTAACATATCAGTACAAATATTTTTGAATGCATGCACGGATAGGCATTAGAAATGCTTAAAATTGAAAGGTGACATTTTTAAACTCAATATGTGACTTTATCTTTACGTTACTTCCAAACACTTTAACCAGTAGGTATTTTATATTTATAATTTTAGATTAAAACCTTAGAAAATAATAATAATATCTGTCATATGTTGCGGTTCGGATCGGAATATCCGTTCCGAGGTGACCCGCCCATTGGGCGGTAACGAGGCTTGCCGGATATTCCGATCCGAACCGCAAACATATGTCAGATATTTTTTCTTGCATATTTTACGATATAACATTATATTTTGAATTCTTTATCTTAATTTTCAATGGGAATTTATGCCATTACAACCGAAACTATTTTCGTACAACAGCGTATGAAATTACAACTTCATTCATAACAGTAAAATTTCATCCTGTAAGCTTGACATTGTACAGCACGCGACTCATCTGGCACCCCCTATGCCAGATGAAATTTCCGGCATGGGTAATACTAACGGAAACGCCAGTCTGATATGCAAGAAAAGTGTGTCATATCAGCAACTTTGATCAAATAAATACACCTAAAACATTTTAAGGAAAGCCTTTTAGGAAAAATACATCTTATAATAACACGTACTGTTCTGGGATAACTGAAACAATACGTAATCAGCTACCAATAACCAGAATACAAGAATGCAAGGGATGATCCAGAAATACCCGTAATTTAAACAATAAATTCAATAATATTTATTCAAAGTTCATATAACAAACACTTTATTACTGCGTAATATATCCTCTTTACAAGGAAACAAGAATATGATAATTAAACACAGTATGCCTACCATATAAGCAAACATAGGATTTGTCACATTATGCAAAAAAGGTTGATGTTCTATTGTTCTTATACATAGGGAATCCTCCCGATGCCATTCACTGTAAGTGTACTAACAACCTAAACCTATGACTATTGAACTGCTAATTGCTTTGATTGCTGTGATTCATACACATGATCATCTTAAAGTTGAAGGCATAAAATATATGATTCATTTAATTTAATTAGATAAAAAGTGCATGTAAAAGAAAACAAATAAAGTATGAAAAACAGCACATAATCGTCAATTAGAATTCATTTTTTTTAAATCGCATTGAAATTGTGCAAGGCCGCATATGACAGCATATTTGTATTTTTCAATCGCCACAGCGACGGAGAACGTTAACTTCACGCGTATTCTTCTATGCCGCAAACGATATGTATTTATCTTTAAAATTACTCCAACAGTCTGGTAAAAAAACTTCTTTACCCCTCAAAAAGTTTTGTATGCATGACTAACAAAATACTTGTGTCGAATTTCTTTTATCATATTAGATGTTTCTATGGTAGGCTGTCTAAACAGTTGACAAATGTTTATGAAAGTGCCGTTTTCCGACGCCTTAATGAAGACGTTTTTGCATAAATAAACGTTGCAATTACAAATGATTACACAATAATACAGTGTTCAAACGACGTGAAATTTTAGCAGGCTTTACATTAACCTTCGGCAAATATTGGACATGATCCCTTTTTTGTGTCGGGCACTTTTGGTGTATTATAAATTTCAACAAACGTCGTGTTCTTTGAGTTGCGCTGCTGTGGCGTATCCATGGTTATTTAAGGCGGCCTGAGACGGTACTGGATGTTAATAATCAATTATATTTCGCAATTAAATAGAAGAAACATCGATCTTTGCGCATTTATAAATTTAATGAAGAAAACATAAAAAGTTATCAGAATTATAAACAAATTTTGGGTAATTCTTGATCAACCTCCATATATAATGTAAACAACAGATTTTATAAATCTTACAATATCAGTTATTGTTTTTTTTCAAGATGAACTCCTGTCGGATTTGTTAACGGCTGGATGATGATCATACAAAGACAGTTAAAGGCAACGAAAAGGAATGCAAGGGAATAAATGCTGCCAGTGAGAAATAAAATGACAGTTTAAAAGTTGAATCGGAATAATATATTCACATTGAGTGTAGAAAGATGTACTGTAACCCACATTACACTAAAAGAGACACTAAGACAGAAAAAGAAAACACTGATGCCACCATTGAGATCAATGACTGATAAGTTTTCATACAAAAAGATTGTTTATATTGTGGTCAATCTTTAATAAGTAAGGGTAAAACAAGGAAGTGTGATGTTTCGCCAGTAAGGACACTAGAACCTACTGTTTTGAATATATGTATACAGAGGAATAACTGTTTGTCTGATACAGTGAGAGCAAGGATAGAACAGGTTCACAACTTGCTTGTAGCCGATGCTCTTTACCATCAAACATGTTTATGCTCCTCTAATTTCAGAACTGGAAAAGATATACCAGAAGAATTTCAGGTGCTACCATCTAGTGATAAAAAGTGAAAGATTGGTCGACCAGAAATTACAGAAGCGAGTGACGCTTTGTAAAAGTTATAACATTCTTGTGCTTATGCTTAGCGAAGATATTTTACAAATTAAAATTTGCAAATATTTTTTTTTTTTACATTTTATGCTCAAATGTATCAAATATTTGAAATTGACCTTCCAAAAGGTCAATGTCACCTCTTTTGACCCAATGTCATGATTTAATATAATGACTCAGAAAAAAATACAACAGATGTGCTTGAAAGTATTCAAGTTAATATAAAACTCAATATTATTATCATAGATAATATAGATTTCCTTAATGTTTCTTTATTTTGTATGAAATTACCTCACCCACTAGCTGTACAATGTTAATATAAATATTTCGATATATGCATTAAATATTGATGGAATGTAAATTTAATTCATAAAACGTTGAAACTTGACAGTTTTCACATGTACGTAAACCATTATGTATTTTCTGTTTAATATCATATAACATAGAGCTTTCAATAAATTGTTGATCTACAGCAATGTAAAAATATAATATTACCCCACCCACTTAAGTTAATTAATAAATTTTAGAAAGGTATAAAATAAAAAAACTGTGCTTAATTTCATGACTTCCCTATCCTAACAAGTGTATTTAAAACAAGTCTCATAATTACGACAAGTGTCGCAAAAGAATAACTGTCGAGTGTTACCAAGTATTTACTTAAGTGGTCATGAGTATTATAGCGGTCGCTTGAGTCATATTTTTAAGTAGTTTACATAGAAACAAACTATGTATCGGTGACTTTTAATCAGATAACAAAGGACAAAATTTATGCTAATCTATTTATTTATTTATTTATTTATTTACTTATTTATTTATTTACAATTAAGTTAGAAATTTGTATATAACAAAGTTAAAATGGCAGCTAAGTCAGAAAATGTTACACACATTATCACATACATAAGGAGTATGTTGACAAAAAATAATTGTTTAAATAAACAAAGAAGATACAAAGAAATAATATATAAAATAAAATACAATCACAATATATATATATTATTTTTTGTTTATAAAAAAAAAAATATCTACATTTTTGTCTATGTTATTGTAAAATCAGACGGCCATACTGAAAGTAAGTATACTACTTGCTGTGTAAAATTTGTATGTTACCTTCTATAAATAAAGATTTTTTTATTATTATTATTATTATTATTATTTTTATTATTTTTATTATTATTATTATTATTATTATTATTATTATATTTTCGTTAAGGCATAGGAAATGGACCCTTGTAAGGAAAATGACGTCACGCGTTCTATTGCGCAAAACAAAAAAAATACAGCTTATAGTTATTATTGCTGTGAAAATTTATCATTTTAGCGCAGTTATTGTATTTTAATCAAGAAATATGCTTTAAAGAATAAGATACACAATACAGTTTTATGACATTTACGGAAACATGAAATAATACGTAGGCCACAAAAAAAATCGACAAAGTTTTGTGCACAACGCCATCAGTGATAAGTGATATACTCTGAGTGATATGGGTTTTATCTTATTAGCATAAACTATTACAACGACTTGACAGAGTACATTTAAAATTACAATGCAAACTATTGACAAAATATGAGATCACCATATGTCTACTTCGTAACTAATGCGGTAGGGGCTATTTTTGCCTATTTTGGTTATATTTTTTGATTGTATGCAATGTGTAAATAACTTCCTTTAAACACTTCATAATATTTTAGTTTAAAATGCATTTTCCTTATTATTATGAATATAAGTAGATAAGAATGGATCTTGTGTCA